TCTCTTATCTTTCCCCTAGCTACGCCTCTAGAAAACAAATTGTAAATCGGTGGGCGCATTTGTAAATAGCTAGACTAAAAATGAGATAATCTTGTATTATTACCGGAGACTAATGTCTCTTGAAAGATAAAAAATTGCAGCATCCCACAAACAAACGCTGCTGAATTTATACAAGCTTATTATTAAACAAACAACAATCCAACATAATAGTAATAATAAACAAATCTAAACTTCCTTTGTTTAGTGAAGTATTGGTTGCTCACTGTGTTAGAGATTTCATGAGTTTGTGTTGATGTGTACACTTGCTATCTATCTATAATAATAGTTTCGCTGTCTGTCTGTCTATCTGACAAGAACGCTCTGTCTGACAAGAACGCTCTGTCTGACAAGAACGCTCTAGAGAAAACACAAGCAAAATAAAAACATGCACAGTAATTCGAAAAACGAAATATGACGTCGCCACATTTAGCATAGAGTAGAACATAATCTCAAACCAGAGAGTGCACACAGTCATATGACGTCATTGATTCTCGCGTTAACATTGAAAACAAGGAAATTTTGTCTAATCTAAATGGTTTGCGTGAAGAGTTTCTTGCATATAATTCTTCGGGTAGGGGCGAAGCCCCACCCCCCGCGTAAGAACGTCTGAGCCCCCCCCTCCTTAACTCAAAAGAAATTTCTTCATCGATACTCTATAATAAAATTACCGCCTAATTAATGTGTCTAATCTAAAAAGTGGTTTTCTTGCAATTTCTTTAATGCAATTCTTCGGGTAGTGGCTAAGCGCGACACCAGTGTTTCTTTCAGACTTTTTCCTCCCCGGAGAGGGGTGGGGGTAATTGAAATTTTCGGGGGCGGGGGTAGAATTTTCGGGGAGGGGGGCGGACACTGGAAAAAGTATATAATTATATTTCGTTGAATGGGACGGTAGACATGTTTTTTTTGGGAGTGGGGGGTGGGGGTGGGGGGTGGGGGTGGGGGGTGGTGTGTGTGTGGGGGGGGGGGGTGGGGTGGTTTCCTCATCGATACTCTATAATAAAATTACCGCCTAATTAATGTGTCTAATCTAAAAAGTGGTTTTCTCGCAATTTCTTTAATGCAATTCTTCGCGTAGAGGCTAAGCGCAACACCAGTGTTTCTTTCAGACTTTTTCCTCCCCGGAGAGGGGTGGGGGTACTTGAAATTTTCGGGGGCGGGGGTAGAATTTTCTGGGAGGGGGCGGACACTGGAAAAAGTTTATAATTATATTTCGTTGAATGGGACGGTAGACATGTTTTTTTTGGGGGGGGGTGGGGGGGTGGGGGGTGGGGGGCGGTGTGTGGTGGGGGGTGGGGGTGGTGTGTGGGGGTGAGGGGTGGGGGTGGGGGTGGTGTGTGGTGGGGGGTGGGGGTGGTGTGTGGGGGTGAGGGGTTGGGGTGGGGGTGGTGTGTGGTGGGGGGGTGGGGGTGGGGGTGGTGTGTGGGTGTGGGGGGGGTGGGGTGGGGGTGGTGTGTGGGGGGGTGGGTTGGTTTTAGTTTAGAGAAAAGAGACAGCACTATCAGCCTAGCGCCCGTTGTACCCTTCCTCAACGGGCCATTTTTCTCGTCTATAATAATAGTTTCGCTGTCTCTCTATCTATCTATCTGTCTGACAAGAACGCTCTAGAGAAAAGACAAGCAATTTAAAAACATGCACAGTAATTCGAAAAACGAAGTATGACGTCGACACATTTAGCACAGAGTAGAAAATAATCTCAAACCCAGAGAGTGCTCACAGTTATATGACGTCATTGATTTTCGCGTTAACATTGAATAAAAAGGAAATGTTGTCTAATCTTAATGGTTTGCGTGAAGAGTTTCTTGCATACAATTCTTCGGGTAGGGGCGAAGCCCCACCCCCCGCGTAAGAACGTCTGAGCCCCCCCCCCCCCTCCCCAACTCAAAAGAAATTTCTTCATCGATACTCTATAATAAAGTTACCGCCTAATTAATGTGTCTAATCTAAAAAGTGGTTTTCTTGCAATTTCTTTAATGCAATTCTTCGGGTAGTGGCTAAGCGCGACACCAGTGTTTCTTTCAGACTTTTTCCTCCCCGGAGAGGGGTGGGGGTAATTGAAATTTTCGAGGGCGGGGTTAGAATTTTCGGGGAGGGGGGGCGGACACTGGAAAAAGTATATAATTATATTTCGTTGAATGGGACGGTAGACATGTTTTTTTTGGGAGTGGGGGGGGGGGGGGAGTGTTGGGGGGGGGGGGTGGGGGGGGAGGTGTGAGTGGGGGGGGGGGTGGGTGGGGCGGTGGTTTCCTCATCGATACTCTATAATAAAATTACCGCCTAATTAATGTGTCTAATCTAAAAAGTGGTTTTCTCGCAATTTCTTTAATGCAATTCTTCGCGTAGTGGCTAAGCGCGACACCAGTGTTTCTTTCAGACTTTTTCCTCCCCGGAGAGCGGTGGGGGTACTTGAAATTTTCGGGGGCGGGGGTAAAATTTTCGGGGAGGGGGCGGACACTGGAAAAAGTATATAATTATATTTCGTTGAATGGGACGGTAGACATGTTTTTTGGGGGGTGGGGGTGGGGTGGGGGTGGGTGGCGGTGGGGGGGGGGGGCTGGTGTGTGGGGTGGGTGTGGGGTGGGGGTGGGTGTGGGGTGGGGGGTGGGGGGGGTGGTGTGTGTGTGGGGGGGGGGGGGGGTGGGTTGGTTTTAGTTTAGAGAAAAGAGACAGCACTATCAACCTAGCGCCCGGTGTATCCTTCCTCAACGGGCCATTTTTCTCGTATCTATAATAATAGTTTCGCTGTCTGTCTATCTGTCTATCTATCTATGTATCTGACAAGAACGCTATAGAGAAAACACAAGCAATTTAAAAACTTTCACAGTGAAACGAAAACGAAATATGACGTCATATAGTAGAAAATAATATCAAGCCGGAGAGTGCACACAGTAATATGACGTCATTGATTCTCGAGTAAACATTGAATAAAAAGGCAATTGTGTTTAATCTAAGTGGTTTGCGTGAAGAGTTTCTTTCATACAATTCTTCGGGTAGGGGCGAAGCCCCACCCCCGCGTAAGAACGTCTGAGCCCCCCCCCCTCCCCAACTCAAAAGAAATTTCTTCATCGATACTCTATAATAAAATTACCGCCTAATTTATGTGTCTAATCTAAAAAGTGGTTTTCTTGCAATTTCTTTAATGCAATTCTTCGGGTAATGGCTAAGCGCGACACCAGTGTTTCTTTCAGACTTTTTCCTCCCCGGAGGGGGGAACGTTTTCTAATCTAAAAAGTGTTTAGCGTGCAGTTTTTTTTTCAAGCATCTCTTCCGGTAGGGGCGAAGCCCCGCCCAGATTCTTCCTTTAGTTTGTATGATCTATAAATGCGACAAGTGTTTCTTTCAGACCTTTTCCTCCCCGGAGAGGGGTGGGGGTACTTGAAATTTTCGGGGGCGGGGGTAGAATTTTCTGGGAGGGGGGGCGGACACTGGAAAAAGTATATAATTATATTTCGTTGAATGGGACGGTAGACATGTTTTGGAGTGTGTGTGTGTGGGGGGAGGGGGGGGGGGGGGGAAGGAGCGAAGCCCCCTCCTCCCAAGTAGAGTTGCCTGAAAGAAACTCTAAATGCGACTTTTGTCATGAATGAGATTAGGTGCATGGTTTAGGGATATGCCTATGACTATATTTTGTAAAAATTAAAGTACCGAGAAAATATACAGCACTATCAACCTAGCGCCCGTTGTATCCTTCCTCAACGGGCCATTTTTCTCGTCTATCTATAATAATAGTTTCGCTGTCTGTCTATCTGTCTATCTATCTATGTATCTGACAAGAACGCTATAGAGAAAACACAAGCAATTTAAAAACTTTCACAGTGAAACGAAAACGAAATATGACGTCACATTTAGCATATAGTAGAAAATAATCTCAAGCCGAGAGTGCACTTTGTAATATGACGTCATTGATTCTCGAGTAAACATTGAAATAAAAAGCCAATTTTGTCTAATCTTAAAAGTGGTTAGCGTGAAGAGTTTCTTTCATACAATTCTTCGGGTAGGGGCGAAGCCCATCCCCCGCGTAAGAACGTCTAAGCCTACCCCCCCCCCCCCAACTCAAAAGAAATGTCGTCATCGATACTCTATAATAAAATTACAGCCTAATGCATGTGTCTAATCTAAAAAGTAGTTTGCGTGCAGAGTTTCTTTCATGTAATTCTTCGGGTAGTGGCTAAGCGCGAGACCAGTGTTTCTTTCAGACTTTTTCCTCCCAGGAGAGGGGTGGGGGTACTTGAAATTTTCAGGGGCGGGGGGTAGAATTTTCTGGGAGGGGGCGGACACTGGAAAAAGTATTTAATTATATTTCGTTGAATGGGACGGTAGACATAGTTTGGTGTGTGTGTGTGGGGCGGGGGGGGGGGGGGGGAGATTGGTTTTAGTTTAGAGAAAATAGACAGAAAATAGACAGCACTATCAACCTAGCGCCCGTTGTATCCTTCCTCAACGGGCCATTTTTCTCGAAGTTGTAAGAATAAGCATGTAGGCTACAGTAGATGTAAAAGGTTGGAATGAAAATGTTTTGCACACTTTGTCACAATCTCATTACACAGTCGTTTTGCACACTTTGTCACAATCACATTACACAGTCGCACTGTTGCGCACTACACAGGAACAAAAGTATTTTTTTCTGCAAGAAGATTACTCGGTGCATTCAACTTTCATTTCCACAGCAGGTCAATCGTACATGTGGGAGAAACATTCAATTAGGTACACGGAATGTGTGGGAGACTGTGGGTTTGTGTGGTGGGACTGTGTGGTGGGACTGTGTGGTGGGACTGTGTGGTGGGGGGGGGGGGTTCTTCCCGTTTAATGTGAGCAAGATTTTTGTTATAAAACAAAACTACGGGAGGGTGAAGGTAGGGGTAGACATGGATTCTAGTTTGGGTTAGGTCATATCCAGGTCAGACCTAACCTGAACTTAATGCACTTAAACACCAATCTCTATCCTATAGTGAAATTCGTGATTCGTGAACTGGGTCAGCGAAAGGCCAAGGTCAGGTGAAAGATGACCCAAGGACTCGGTCAGTATGCACGTGAACCAATGGCCAGGCTGTTGGTGACCTTGATGACCTTTCAAATGATGCCAGGTATTTGTTCGTAGAACGTGTAATTAGGTCAATTAGCTTTACACGGACGGTTAGTGTGTCTTCAGACAGGCAATACACTGAGACAGGTGAGACACTGAGACAGGTGAGACACTGAGACAGGTGAGACACTGACAGGTGAGACACTGAGACAGGTGAGACACTGAGACAGGTGAGACACTGAGACAGGTGAGACATCCATAGTTCTGATTTCAGTCAGCTCCAGGAATTGCGCTTCGATGAACGGTTTGACCTTGGGTCGCACGTGCTACATACTGGTTGGACTGGAGCGAGACTGGGCCTCTGCATTGGTTAGTGGCAGGTGTTAGTGGCAGGTGTTAGTGGCAGGTGTTAGTGGCAGTTTGTTAGTGGCAGTTTGTTAGTGGCAGTTTGTTAGTGGCAGTTTGTTAGTGGCAGTTTGTTAGTGGCAGTTTGTTAGTGGCAGTTTGTTAGTGGCAGTTTGTTAGTGGCAGTTTGTTAGTGTCAGTTGTTAGTGGCAGGTGTTAGTGGCAGTTTTTAGTGGCAGTTTTTAGTGGCAGTTTTTAGTGGCAGTTTGTTAGTGGCAGTTTGTTAGTGGCAGTTTGTTAGTGGCAGTTTGTTAGTGGCAGTTTGTTAGTGGCAGTTTGTTAGTGGCAGTTTGTTAGTGGCAGTTGTTAGCGGCAGTTGTTAGTGGCAGTTCGTTAGTGGCAGTTCGTTAGTGGCAGTTTGTTAGTGGCAGTTTGTTAGTGGCAGTTTGTTAGTGGCAGTTTGTTAGTGGCAGTTTGTTAGTGGCAGTTTGTTAGTGGCAGTAGTTAGACGTTAGTGGCAGTTGATAGTGGCAGTTAGTGGTGGCTAGGGATAGTTCGTTTTCTTATATGTAAATGTATGGGGGTTTATGGCACTTAGCGGCACTAAGGCACATTTAAATGTCAGCATTATTCAATGTCATCATTATTTAGTGTCAGCATTGGTCAGTGTCATCTTCTGTCAGTGTCATCATTGCTCAGTGTCATCATTGGTCATCATTGATCAGTGTCAGCACTGGTCAGTGTCATTTTCTGACAGTGTCATCATTGGTCAGTGTCAGCATTGGTCAGTGTCATCATTGGTCAGTGTCAGCATTGGTCAGTGTTATCATTGGTCAGTGTTATCATTTGTCAGTGTCAGCATTGGTCAGTGTCATCATTGGTCAGTGTCATCATTGGTCAGTGTCATCATTGGTCAGTGTCATCATGTGTCAGTGTCATCATTGGTCAGTGTCATCATTGGTCAGTGTCCACTCCCCCCCCCCCCCCAGCAAACGTGCATCAAACACGGCATGCAGCCCGTCATGATCAGTGACGTCATTCAGCTCGGGCAAGTCGTGGATTTTCTCAAAAATAAATGTGAGTCATTGATGGCGCCAGTGTGTCACGTGTGTGGTGGAGTCAAGGAGTGTAGTGGAGTGTGTGTGGTGGAGTCATTGATGGCGTCAGTGTGAAGTGGAGTGTGTGTGGTGGAGTCAGTAATGTGTGTGTGGTAGAGTCAAGGAGTCATGTGTGTAGTGGAGTGTGTGTGGTGGAGTCAGTAATGTGTGTGTGGTAGAGTCAAGGAGTCATGTGTGTAGTGGAGTGTGTGTGGTGGAGTTAGTAATGTGTGTGTTGTAGAGTCAAGGAGTCATGTGTGTAGTGGAGTGTGTGTGGTGGAGTCAGTAATGTGTGTGTGGTAGAGTCAAGGAGTCATGTGTGTAGTGGAGTGTGTGTGGTGGAGTCAGTAATGTGTGTGTGGTAGAGTCAAGGAGTCATGTGTGTAGTGGAGTGTGTGTGGTGGAGTCAGTCATGTGTGTGTGGTAGAGTCAAGGAGTCATGTGTGTAGTGGAGTGTGTGTGGTGGAGTCATTGATGGCGTCAGTGTGTCACGTGTGTGGTGGAGTCAGGAGTCACGTGTGGAATCCTTCCTCAGCAAATTCTGGCGTCTGGACTGGAGGCAAAAGTTTACCGGATATGACGTTCGTGTGGGACGTCAACAACATTCCCGTCAACCTTGAGCTGGTGCATGACGTCACCAACACCACGCGTGAGGCCAACTATTGTCTGGCCTTGACCTTGAACTCAACTCTGGTCAAGCGCCCGTGCGAGCAGCAGCTTGACGTGCTCTGTATGAAAGACGGTTAGTTGGCCCAGACCTGTTGGCCCAGACCTGTTGGCCCAGACCTGTTGGCCCAGACCTGTTGGCCAGACCTGTTGGCCCAGACTGTACTAGACCTGTTGGCCCAGACTGTACTAGACCTGTTGGCCCAGACTGTACTAGACCTGTTGGCCCAGACCTGTTGGCCCAGACTGTATTAGACTTGTTGGCCCAGACCTGTTGGCACAGACTGTACTAGACCAATTGGCCCAGACTGTACTAGACCTGTTGGCCCACACCTGTTGGCCCAGACCTGTTGGCCCAGACCTGTTGGCCCAGACCTGTTGGCCCAGACCTGTTGGCCAGACCTGTTGGCCCAGACTGTACTAGACCTGTTGGCCCAGACTGTACTAGACCTGTTGGCCCAGACTGTATCAGACCTGTTGGCCCAGACCTGTTGGCCCAGACCTGTTGGCCCAGACTGTACCAGACCTGTTGGCCCAGACCTGTTAGCCCAGACTGTATTAGACTTGTTGGCCCAGACCTGTTGGCACAGACTGTACTAGACCTGTTGGCCCAGACTGTACTAGACCTTTTGGCCCAGACCTGTTGGCCCAGACCTGTTGGCCCAGACCTGTTGGCCCAGACTGTACTAGACCTTTTGGCCAGAACTGTTGGCCCAGACCTGTTGGCCCAGACTGTACTAGACCTGTTGGCCCAGACCTGTTGGCCCAGACTGTATTAGACTTGTTGGCCCAGACCTGTTGGCCCAGACCTGTTGGCCCAGACCTGTTGGCCCAGACTGTACTAGACCTGTTGGCCCAGACTGTACTAGACCTGTTCGCCAGACCTGTTGGCCCAGACTGTATCAGACCTGTTGGCCCAGACCTGTTGGCCCAGACTGTACTAGACCTGTTGGCCAGACCTGTTGGCCCAGACTGTATCAGACCTGTTGGCCCAGACCTGTTGGCCCAGACTGTACTAGACTTGTTGGCCAGACCTGTTGGCCCAGACCTGTTGGCCCAGACTGTACTAGACTTTTTGGCCAGACCTATTGGCCCAGACTGTACTAGACCTGTTGGCCCAGACCTGTTGGCCCAGACTGTATTAGACCTGTTGGCCAGACCTGTTGGCTCAGACTGTACTAGACCTGTTGGCCAGACCTGTTGGCCCAGACCTGTTGGCCCAGACTGTACTAGACTTGTTGGCCCAGACTGTACTAGACCTGTTGGCTCAGACTGTACTAGACCTGTTGGCCCAGACCTGTTGGCCCAGACCTGTTGGCCCAGACCTGTTGGCCCAGACTGTACTAGACCTGTTGGCCCAGACTGTGCTGGACCTGTTGGCCAGACCTGTTGGCCCAGAGAATTAATTTCTTCAGACCACAAAGGTTTTTTGCTAAATTTTTAAAATTCTAGTACATCTCGTATAGTTAATTTGTCCGTGTCTAATGAGCATAATGAATCTGTATCTAATTAACCTAATGAATCTCTCCTTATCTAATTAACCTAATGAATCTCTCCTTATCTAATGAAGCTAATGAATCTGCCCGTATATAATTAACCTGATGAATCTGTATCTAATTAACCAAATGAATCTGTATCTAATTAACCAAATGAATCTGTATCTAATTAAGCTAATTAATCTGTATCTAATTAACCTAATGAATCTGTATCTAATTAAGCTAATTAATCCGCCCAGATCCCGTGTGGCTAGGAGAGAAGGTCGTGTGCCGGTGTAAACGTGGCCAGTGCAACTCTAGCGGGGAGTGTATCGCAACCACATGCCAGGCTGGATGGTTCGGCCCGGCTTGCCAGATAAGTAAGTGGCCAGATAAGTGAGGGGCCAGGAAAGTGAGTTGTCAGATAAGTGAGTTGTCAGATAAGTTGCCAGATAAGTGAGTGGCCAGATAAGTAAGTGGCCAGATAAGTTGCCAGACAAATGAGTTGCCAGATAAGTAAGTTGTCAGATAAGTAAGTGGCCAGATAAGTTGCCAGATAAGTTGCCAGATAAGTTGCCAGATAAGTGAGTTGTCAGATAAGTAAGTGGCCAGATAAGTTGCCAGATAAGTTGCCAGATAAGTTGCCAGATAAGTGAGTTGCCAGATAAGAGAGTTGCCAGATAAGTGAGTTTCTATATTAGTGAGTTAAAAGCTTGCCACGTTAGCTAAAAGATATTTGTCAGAACGTTGAGAAAACTTTTGGTTTCCATGGACGTCCGGATAATTCCTCTGTCATTTAGAAGACCACGTGCACGAGGGTACATTCGTCCCACGAGAGCTCATGGACGATAACGTCACGACCTGCATCCAGACCAACTACCTCAAGGTCCAGTTTGGTGACGTCAAGTTCATCGCTTGGGTCAGCCTAGTGCACAATAACAAAGGTAAGTTGCGACCCCGCCCCGACCCCCGCCCCGACCCCCGCCCCAACCCCCAAACTCCGGGGCTTAGACTAGTGCAACAATACAAAAGTAACCTGCATGACCTTCCGATGACCTTATGACTATCCCCAGATAGCCTGCATGACCTTCCGATGACCTTGTGACTATCCCCAGATAGCCTGCATGACCTTCAGATGACCTTGTGACTATCCCCAGATAGCCTGCATGACCTTCTGATGACCTTATGACAATCCCCAGATAGCCTACATGACCTTACGATGACCTTATGATTATCCCCAGATAACCTGCATGACCTTACGATGACCTTGTGACTATCCCCAGATAGCCTGCATGACCTGACGATGACCTTGTCAAATGACCTAGAGACCTCCTACAACTGCACCGAGCTGCGGCTGCTGAATGTGGAGGAGACTGTGGTGGATGTCCGGTGTGGGCGTGGCATCCACTACGTGCAGCGGGTGGAGCTGAGGTGGAGCACCAACAAGACGCTGTGCTCGCTCCACGTGGCAGGCGGTAGGTCACGTGATTCCCGGCTCATCTGAGCCGCCATCCTAGATTTGTTTATATAAAGATATGACCTTCACCTTCACGTGAAGATTGACCTTCATCTTTGACCTAGGCGTGAACTCGGCCTTGCGGCAGAAGACGGAGATGTCCCGTACGGGCGGGGTGGAGCTGTCCCACTACTCCGTGGACGGGGAGACGGGGCTGGGGGCGGAGTGCGCCAGGACCCAGGAAGAGGACCCCACAGCCTACTGGAAGTTGACCTTTGACAAGCCACGCCTCGTCTACGAGATCATCGTCCACAGGGCGTCACGTGAGCTGCGTTACCCATCACTAAATTCTACACCACGCCCTTGACCTTCCCATGACGTCACAATTTACCCAGCCTGACCTGAATTTTTTACCTTTACACAATCCAAAAACAATCCCGACCTGACCTTGACCTTTCCGTGACGTACCAAAATACACGCTCTATCTGACCTTGACCTTGCAATGACCTCACAAAACACCACACCCACTCTGACCTTGACCTTCCGGTGACGTCACAGGTCGGCACGACTGGAGCTTCATGGACGGCTTCCTCCTGGAGAGCTATGACGTCAGCGGCCGGACGGTACACACCGCCAGAGGGGTGGGGCACACCACGCATCTCCAGGCCCACATCCACACCTGCTCTACTGCACCTGTACTTACCATAGTTATGAACGTCATGGGTCTGCACAACTCGCTAGAGATTTGCGAGTTCGAAACCTACGGCGGTAAGTCGCTATGTACCGTCTGTCTATCTAAAGTCGCTCTGTACCGTCTGTCTATCTAAAGTCGCTCTGAACCGTCTGTCTGTCCAAAGCTTGCAGTTTTTTAGGCTTTATAATCTAGTGTTCTAGTTAATTAATTAGGCTTTATAATCAGTTTTGGTGAATTAGGTATTATAATCAATGTTTTAGTTAATTAATTAGATTTTATAACTAAATGCTTTAGTTTATTAGGTTTTATATCCTTTTTTTTTCTTTTTGTTAGGTTTTTTAACCACACCACTAACCCAACCACTAACCCAACCACTAACCCAACCACTAACCCAACCACTAACCCAACCACTAACCCAACCACTAACCCAACCACTAACCCAACCACTAACCCAACCACTAACCACTAACCCAACCACTAACCACTAACCCAACCACTAACCCAACCACTAACCCAACCACTAACCCAACCACTAACCCAACCACTAACCCAACCACTAACCCAACCACTAACCCAACCACTAACCACTAACCCAACCACTAACCCAACCACTAACCCAACCACTAACCACTAACCCAACCACTAACCCAACCACTAACCCAACCACTAACCCAACCACTAACCCAACCACTAACCCAACCACTAACCCAACCACTAACCCAACCACTAACCCAACCACTGACCACTAACCCAACCACTAACCCAACCACTAACCCAACCACTAACCCAACCACTAACCCAACCACTAACCCAACCACTAACCCAACCACTAACCCAACCACTAACCCAACCACTAACCCAACCACTAACCCAACCACTAACCCAACCACTAACCCAACCACTAACCCAACCACTAACCCAACCACTAACCCAACCACTAACCCAACTACTAACCCAACCACTAACCCAACCACTAACCCAACCACTAACCCAACCACTAACCCAACCACTAACCACTAACCCAACCACTAACCACTAACCCAACCACTAACCCAACCACTAACCCAACCACTAACCCAACCACTAACCCAACCACTAACCCAACCACTAACCCAACCACTAACCCAACCACTAACCCAACCACTAACCCAACCACTAACCCAACCACTAACCCAACCACTAACCCAACCACTAACCCAACCACTAACCCAACCACTAACCCAACCACTAACCCAACCACTAACCCAACCACTAACCACTAACCCAACCACTAACCCAACCACTAACCCAACCACTAACCCAACCACTAACCCAACCACTAACCCAACCACTAACCCAACCACTAACCCAACCACTAACCCAACCACTAACCACTAACCCAACCACTAACCACTAACCCAACCACTAACCCAACCACTAACCCAACAACTAACCCAACCACTAACCCAACCACTAACCCAACCACTAACCCAACCACTAACCCAACCACTAACCCAACCACTAACCCAACCACTAACCCAACCACTAACCACTAACCCAACCACTAACCCAACCACTAACCCAACCACTAACCCAACCACTAACCCAACCACTAACCCAACCACTAACCACTAACCCAACCACTAACCACTAACCCAACCACTAACCCAACCACTAACCCAACCACTAACCCAACCACTAACCCAACCACTAACCCAACCACTAACCCAACCACTAACCCAACCACTAACCACTAACCCAACAACTAACCACTAACCCAACCACTAACCCAACCACTAACCCAACAACTAACCCAACCACTAACCCAACCACTAACCCAACCACTAACCCAACCACTAACCCAACCACTAACCCAACCACTAACCCAACCACTAACCCAACCACTAACCACTAACCCAACCACTAACCCAACCACTAACCCAACCACTAACCCAACCACTAACCCAACCACTAACCCAACCACTAACCACTAACCCAACCACTAACCACTAACCCAACCACTAACCCAACCACTAACCCAACCACTAACCCAACCACTAACCCAACCACTAACCCAACCACTAACCCAACCACTAACCCAACCACTAACCCAACCACTAACCCAACCACTAACCCAACCACTAACCCAACCACTAACCCAACCACTAACCCAACCACTAACACAACCACTAACCCAACTACTAACCCAACCACTAACCCAACCACTAACCCAACCACTAACCCAACCACTAACCACTAACCCAACCACTAACCACTAACCCAACCACTAACCCAACCACTAACCCAACCACTAACCCAACCACTAACCCAACCACTAACCCAACCACTAACCCAACCACTAACCCAACCACTAACCCAACCACTAACCCAACCACTAACCCAACCACTAACCCAACCACTAACCCAACCACTAACCCAACCACTAACCCAACCACTAACCCAACCACTAACCCAACCACTAACCCAACCACTAACCCAACCACTAACCCAACCACTAACCCAACCACTAACCCAACCACTAACCCAACCACTAACCCAACCACTAACCCAACCACTAACCACTAACCCAACCACTAACCACTAACCCAACCACTAACCCAACCACTAACCCAACCACTAACCCAACCACTAACCCAACCACTAACCCAACCACTAACCCAACCACTAACCCAACCACTAACCCAACCACTAACCCAACCACTAACCCAACCACTAACCACTAACCCAACCACTAACCCAACCACTAACCCAACCACTAACCCAACCACTAACCCAACCACTAACCCAACCACTAACCCAACCACTAACCCAACCACTAACCCAACCACTAACCACTAACCCAACCACTAACCACTAACCCAACCACTAACCCAACCACTAACCCAACCACTAACCCAACCACTAACCCAACCACTAACCCAACCACTAACCCAACCACTAACCCAACCACTAACCCAACCACTAACCCAACCACTAACCCAACCACTAACCCAACCACTAACCCAACCACTAACCCAACCACTAACCCAACCACTAACCCAACCACTAACCCAACCACTAACCCAACCACTAACCCAACCACTAACCCAACCACTAACCCAACCACTAACCCAACCACTAACCCAACCACTAACCCAACCACTAACCCAACCACTAACCCAACCACTAACCCAACCACTAACCCAACCACTAACACAACCACTAACCCAACCACTAACCCAACCACTAACCCAACCACTAACCCAACCACTAACCCAACCACTAACCACTAACCCAACCACTAACCCAACCACTAACCCAACCACTAACCCAACCACTAACCCAACCACTAACCCAACCACTAACCCAACCACTAACCCAACCACTAACCCAACCACTAACCCAACCACTAACCCAACCACTAACCCAACCACTAACCCAACCACTAACCCAACCACTAACCCAACCACTAACCCAACCACTAACCCAACCACTAACCCAACCTGTCATCCCTCTATGTATGTAAATATATGTGTGTATGTATGTCAGACTGTGCCCCGCCCTACTACGGCTACGGATGTGCATCTGAGTGCAACCAACTCTGCCTTGACCGGAAGTGCCACTACAACGGCTTCTGCTACGATTGTGAACTGGGTAAATCAGGGGACTACTGCGAGACAGGTCTGTTTGTCTGTTAGTCTGTTTGTACCTTTGAGTGGTCAGTTTGTCTGTTTGTACCTTTGTATGGTCAGTTTGTCTGTTTGTTCATTTCGTTGCTAGTGCATTAACCAAGTTATGCAATTTTGTTTCTGCATGGCTTATCATGTCGTGGCGATTTTTGTAAATGTCATGTCCAGGTTTGTAAATGTCATATTTTCTGAATATCATGTTACAGTATCGTGTCATCTATATACTACTAAAAGTCAAGTTTGTTTACATGTTTGAATATTTATTTGTTTGTTTGCCTGATCAAGTATCCTGATATGTTCGGCTCTATCTGGAAAGCTGTAAAATAGTATGTAGGTAGAGAATAATTTTTTAATGCAGACAGACTGTTAATCACACATTTATTTAAAGACGTTAATTAATTTATTGATTTATTCATAGTTAAATTAACCGTATTTTTTTAAAAATGTTAATACTTTGAATAAACTTTGTGGGGATAGTGACGTCCCTTGATAGTGACGTCAGAGTTTTTTGTTGACTCTTTAGTACAATAAAATGGCGGCGCGTCTATCGAAGAAAATTGTGTTCCCATTCCAAAGTTTAACGCGTTCTAAATCTAATTTTCTGTCGGTCATAACTTTAACAATACGTCCGTTTGCTGTATTTATTACGTTCCAACACTTATATCAATTTTCAACTGTCTTTTTCATTTAGTTTTACGATAAATTTCTCTAGATCTAAAGATCAGCTGTCGAGAATCTAGCCTAGGGCCTAGAATCTAGATCTAGGTCACTAGAGTCATAGATCTAGACTTAATGTAAATTCTACATCTAGAATCTATTTCGGGCCTTAATTATTTTATATAAATCTTTGTTTAGCTTCAATGATCATCTAATTCGAGAATACATGGGATTTTTTTGTTATCTAGGTTTTATATCTAGATATAGTAGGATTACTCACTAACTTGGAGGCGTGGTCGGCTGCTAACAACAATATGGCGTACGGACCGGACGAATGACTTCCTAACATTTTTAGGCCATGTTTACCACGAGCAAAATGGCGGGTGTTCACATTATTTAAACATGGTATAGGTGGCCAGGGCTAGATATGCCAGAAAAGCATTTTAAAATTTGCTTTGGAGAATGAAGGCTAAATTTTAAAGCCAGTGTCATAAACATTAATAGAACTTTTTTTTTTTTTACGTTTTCAATTATTTTTTCTTAAGCCCTATATGTGAATGATAAGGTTGACTATCAGGACCTCGCGGGGCACAGGGCACGTGAAGTAGGGTTCATCTGTTTCTTTGTCCTAAGCAAATGAAGGGATAGTGTGGTCAGAGACATGCTTGGCTGGAATCGTTTTTGTTGTCTCAGACTTGGCGGGACACTGGGCAGGTGAAGTAGAGTTGAGTAGGTCACCTGTGACGTCAATATATGAAGGGATAGTCCGAAATCGTTGTTTTCGGTGTTTTTAAAAGATAAAAAACATATTTTTGAATGTGGGTTCTGTTTTTTGTGACGATAAGTGACACTGCAGTAGCGTAGCGAGGAGGGGGGGGGCGGGAGGGAAGGGGAGGCGGGGGGAGGTGGAGGGGGGGGGGGGACATGTTGGGGCGCCAAAATAATTTGGAAAAATAAATTGAAAGGTTGAGGGGGGTTCAAATGGAAATTTTGAGTGGGGGGGGGGGGGGGTGCACATCAAAAGTTTGAAGGGGGTGGGGGGGGGGGGTTGAAAATCGAAATCTTGGGGGGGGGGGGGGTTCAAATCGAAAAGTTTGTCCCCGGGCGCCGGGAAGGGTCGCTATGCCTCTGAGTGACAGACGTGATGTTTTTTGATGGATGACCCCCGAAACCCACAGTTATCCAACGGATGACGGGTATTCTAGTATATTTTGAAAGTCATATCATATTTTTATATCATGTCGCATTTTCAAATTATGTTTTCAAGATTTTTAATGTCGTATTACATTTGATGAATGTCATTGGACATTTGATGAATGTTATGGGACATTTGATAAATGTCATGGGTAATATTATAAATGTCATGGGTAATATTATAAATGTCATGTGACATTTGATGAATGTCATGTGACATTTGATGAATGTCGTGTTACATTTGATGAATGTCATGTGCGGAGATCAGCCACGCCTATGTCATCTCGCCCACAGACCCCAGATCGAACCCCACCCAGCCCCTGAGCTCCTACTTCTGGGATATCGTGACCTTGCTGGGTTACCTGGTGACCTTTGGCCTCGTCATGTGGCTCCTCTTCTACCTGAGCCAGCGCTACAGCAAGAAGCGGGCCAGGAGACGGCTCTGTAGGTTGGGGGAGGGCCATCACAGAAATCTTGCCAACCACACCACCATCCACATCACCATCCACATCACCAACCACATCACAACATAACCAACCACCTCACCAACCACACCACCATCCACGTCACCAACCACATCACAACACCACATCCCCAATGTGACCTACTTAGGTCGAGTCAGGTTCCATTTTTATTTTGACATTGTATAATACCTTATATGGAGTGATGGTGCGACTACCGGGGATTTTCCACTGTCTTATTAAGGGTGTCTAAGACTAAGAAATTTTCCATTAAGATCTGATTGATTGATTCTGATCAGATGACCATCCCAACCAATGGCTACATGAGTTGAGGATAACCTCCCCTGTTGCATAAGTCTTTAACTGCACCGCACACTCGCAACACGTGGCAGTCTACCTTGATCAAACGGTCCATTGAGACCAGGCCGTCCATATTGTCCGGCAATAGATTCTGACCATTTGAACGTGAGAGAACTTAAGTCCTGTGTGTGCTATGCTTTCTTAAGTTGATTTAGTCTTCTAGTATGATATTACTTGTCGCCAAGTGATTCATGAAGCTATAGCAGTGTTGTGTGACCTGTGGCTATTTTTATACAGTGTTGAAATCTGTGATAGTGTTTTTTCTTACACTTTGTAAGTTGGGTTTTGATATTTTATAAATTAAATATTTTATCTAGTTTAACCTTGTGTTCTGCCACAACTGTGTTCGCTTATTAAAGGTTGTATGCAGATTGGATGAGTGTTAATTTCAATAGTATCACTAGTTTTCCCTAGACATCGGATTCGAGCCCTAGTGTGTTGTTGAGTTAGTGTTCATCCATTTAGGCTTTAAGTCATTTGCATATTACCCCGAAAAAAGAATCCGGGGACGTTCACCATCTATCTGGCTGATAGATAGGTAAACGTTACACCAACCTCAACACAAACCACACCCACACCACCATCCACGTCACCAACCACATCACAACATAACCAACCACCTCACCAACGACATCACCAACCACGTCACAACACCACATCCCCAACCTCAACACAAATCACACCACCGACTACACCACCAACCACATCACCATCTACATCACCAACCATACCACATCATCACCAACCACACCACCAACTACACCACCAACCACATCACCATCTACATCACCAACCACATCACCAACCACATCACCAATCATACCACCAAACACATCACCAACCACACCACCAACCACATCACCAACCACACCACCAACCACACCACCAACTACACCACCAACCACATCACCAATCACATCACCAACCACATCACAAACCACATCACCAACCACATCACCAACCACACCACCAACCTCATCACAAACCACATCACCAACGACATCACAAACCACATCACCAACCACACAACCAACCTCATCATAAACCACATCACCAACCACATCACAAACCACATCACAAACCACATCACCAACCACATCACCAACCACATCACCAACCACACCACCAACCACACCACCAACCTCATCACAAACCACATCACCAACCACACCACCAACCACACCACCAACCACATCACCAACCACACCACCAACCACACCACCAACCACACCACCAACCGCACCACCAACCACACCACCACAACCCTTTTATTCTACCACTTCCAGCACGACGAATGAGCACTGGACGTAAACCCCAAACCCCGCCCAAACCCCCCATCGAGCCCCACCCTGACGAGAGCGGCCTCTCCCTCGGGAAGACAGAGTCAAAGGCAACGGAAATGACGTCAGCAACAACTAGCACACAGTCTTCTGAAGGGACGGGAACTTCAGCCTAACTGTGTGACACACCTGGAGCAGGACTGTGTGACACACCTGGAGCAGGACTGTGTGACACACCTGGAGCAGGACTGTGTGACACACCTGGAGCAGGACTGTGTGACACACCTGGAGCAGACTGTGTCACCTGGAGCAGACTGTGTCACCTGGAGCAGGACTGTGTGACACACCTGGAGCAGGACTGTGTGACACACCTGGAGCAGGACTGTGTGACACACCTGGAGCAGGACTGTGTGACACACCTGGAGCAGGACTGTGTGACACACCTGGAGCAGGACTATGTGACACACCTGGAGCAGGACTGTGTGACACACCTGGAGCAGACTGTGTCACCTGGAGCAGGACTATGTGACACACCTGGAGCAGGACTGTGTGACACACCTGGAGCAGGACCATGTGACACACCTGGAGCAGAGTGACACACCTGGAGCAGGACTGTGTGACACACCTGGAGCAGGACTGTGTCACCTGGAACAGGACTGTGTGACCTGCAGCAGGACTGTGTGACACACCTGGAGCAGGACTGTGTGACACACCTGGAGCAGGACTGTGTGACACACCTTGAGCAGGACTATGTGACACACCTGGAGCAGGACTGTGTCACCTGGAGCAGGACTGTATGACACACCCGGAGCAGGACTGTGTCACCTGGAGCAGACTGTGAGACACACCTGGAGCAGGACTGTGTGACACACCTGGAGCAGGACTGTGTGACACACCTGGAGCAGGACTGTGTGACACACCTGGAGCAGGACTGTGTGACACACCTGGAGCAGAGTAACACACCTGGAGCAGGATTGTATGACACACCCGGAGCAGGACTGTGAGACACACCTGGAGCAGGACTGTGTGACACACCTGGAGCAGGACTGTGTGACACACCTGGAGCAGGACTATGTGACACACCTTGAGCAGGACTATGTGACACACCTGGAGCAGGACTGTGTCACCTGGAGCAGGACTGTATGACACACCCGGAGCAGGACTGTGAGACACACCTGGAGCAGACTGTGTGACACACCTGGAACAGGACTGTATGACACACCCGGAGCAGGACTGTGTCACCTGGAGCAGACTGTGAGACACACCTGGAGCAGGACTGTGTGACACACCTGGAGCAGGACTATGTGACACACCTTGAGCAGGACTATGTGACACACCTGGAGCAGGACTGTGTCACCTGGAGCAGGACTGTATGACACACCCGGAGCAGGACTGTGAGACACACCTGGAGCAGACTGTGTGACACACCTGGAACAGGACTGTATGACACACCCGGAGCAGGACTGTGTCACCTGGAGCAGACTGTGAGACACACCTGGAGCAGGACTGTGTGACACACCTGGAGCAGGACTATGTGACACACCTTGAGCAGGACTATGTGACACACCTGGAGCAGGACTGTGTCACCTGGAGCAGGGCTGTATGACACACCCGGAGCAGGACTGTGTCACCTGGAGCAGACTGTGAGACACACCTGGAGCAGGACTGTGTGACACACCTGGAGCAGGACTGTGTGACACACCTGGAGCAGGACTATGTGACACACCTTGAGCAGGACTATGTGACACACCTGGAGCAGGACTGTGTCACCTGGAGCAGGACTGTATGACACACCCGGAGCAGGACTGTGAGACACACCTGGAGCAGACTGTGTGACACACCTGGAACAGGACTGTATGACACACCCGGAGCAGGACTGTGTCACCTGGAGCAGACTGTGAGACACACCTGGAGCAGGACTGTGTGACACACCTGGAGCAGGACTATGTGACACACCTTGAGCAGGACTATGTGACACACCTGGAGCAGGACTGTGTCACCTGGAGCAGGACTGTATGACACACCCGGAGCAGGACTGTGAGACACACCTGGAGCAGACTGTGTGACACACCTGGAACAGGACTGTATGACACACCCGGAGCAGGACTGTGTGACACACCTGGAGCAGACTGTGTGACACACCTGGAGCAGGACTGTGTGACACACCTGGAGCAGGACTGTGTGACACACCTGGAGCAGGACTGTGTGACACACCTGGAGCAGGACTGTATGACACACCTGGAGCAGGACTGTGTGACACACCTGGAGCAGGACTGTGTGACACACCTTTAGAACCTCTTATCTCTATATATCTTGGTACCCAGTATGCACCTAATGCTTTGAATGTATACCGTTAGAAAATTGCTATTTATGTATATGATTGTGTGAATAAAGCGAAATGATTTTTTTTCTTTTCGTGATTTTTAATTAATTGAATAATTAATTAGCGTTTGTGGTTTTGTTATCATGTTTACTTCATGTGTTTACTTATGTGTTTACTTTATGTGTTTACTTCATGTGTTTATTTCATGTGTTTATTTCATGTGTTTACTTCAATTGTTACTTCATGTGTTCACTTGATGTGTTTACTGCTTGTGTTTAATTCATGTGTTTACTTTATGGGTTTACTCCCCTAGCACTGACTCTTGCACTGACTCTAGCACTGACTCCAACCCTAGTCCTAACCCTAACCCTGACTCATTAGCCGTGCACCACCACCAGAGTTTCTTCCAGAAAAAATTCGACCCCCCCCCGAACGAAATGAAATTTATCTAATTTATATAGAAAATATTTACTTTAAACAGTGTCCCCCCCCCCCCCCCCAAAAAAATTTCAAGTGCCCCCCCCCCCCCCCCCCCCGGAGAAAAAAGTCTGGAAGAAACACTGACAACTTCTCATAAGTAATTTACAAACGTCAACAAAAAATTGCGCATCATATTTCGCACGATCAGTGCTATTTTTAACTCATGAGGATCATTTCCTGTTGGCCATTTTGTTGTAAACAAAAAAAATATATTTTACCATCTGGTCAGATCGGAGTTCACTTAACGACCAGCGTATGTTGATGTGTGACGTCATGGTCAGCTTGATATCATTGACCACGTGACGGCATGAACAGGTCACTATGAGACGGCTGGAACCTTGTCAGCCCTAGTTGGCATTAGGACTCCACCAATCAGGCATGGGGCTAGACCTCCCAGAGTAGAACTAGACCTAGAGTAGACCTAGAGTAGACCTAGAGTAGACCTAGACCTAGAGTAGACCTAGACTCCTAGAGTAGACCTAGAGCTAGAGTAGACCTAGAGTAGACCTAGACTTAGAGTAGACCTAGACCTAGAGTAGACCTAGAGTAGACCTAGAGTAGACCTAGAGTAGACCTAGACTTAGAGTAGACCTAGAGCTAGAGTAGACCTAGACTTAGAGTAGACCTAGACCTAGAGTAGACCTAGAGTAGACCTAGACCTAGAGTAGACCTAGACTTAGAGTAGACCTAGAGCTAGAGTAGACCTAGAGTAGACCTAGAGTAGACCTAGACCTAGAGTAGACCTAGACTCCTAGAGTAGACCTAGAGTAGACCTAGAGTAGACCTAGACCTAGAGTAGACCTAGACTTAGAGTAGACCTAGAGCTAGAGTAGACCTAGAGTAGACCTAGAGTAGACCTAGACCTAGAGTAGACCTAGACTCCTAGAGTAGACCTAGAGTAGACCTAGAGTAGACCTAGACCTAGAGTAGACCTAGACTTAGAGTAGACCTAGAGCTAGAGTAGACCTAGAGTAGACCTAGACCTAGAGTAGACCTAGACCTAGAGTAGACCTAGACTCCTAGAGTAGACCTAGACCTAGAGTAGACCTTAGAGTAGACCTAGAGCTAGAGTAGACCTAGAGTAGACCTAGACTTAGAGTAGACCTAGACCTAGAGTAGACCTAGAGTAGACCTAGAGTAGACCTAGACCTAGAGTAGACCTAGACTTAGAGTAGACCTAGAGCTAGAGTAGACCTAGAGTAGACCTAGACTTAGAGTAGACCTAGACCTAGAGTAGACCTAGAGTAGACCTAGAGTAGACCTAGACCTAGAGTAGACCTAGACTTAGAGTAGACCTAGAGCTAGAGTAGACCTAGAGTAGACCTAGAGTAGACCTAGACTCCTAGAGTAGACCTAGAGTAGACCTAGAGTAGACCTAGACCTAGAGTAGACCTAGACTTAGAGTAGACCTAGAGCTAGAGTAGACCTAGAGTAGACCTAGAGTAGACCTAGACCTAGAGTAGACCTAGACTCCTAGAGTAGACCTAGACCTAGAGTAGACCTAGAGTAGACCTAGACCTAGAGTAGACCTAGACTTAGAGTAGACCTAGAGCTAGAGTAGACCTAGAGTAGACCTAGACTTAGAGTAGACCTAGACTCCTAGAGTAGACCTAGAGTAGACCTAGAGTAGACCTAGACCTAGAGTAGACCTAGACTTAGAGTAGAACTAGAGCTAGAGTAGACCTAGAGTAGACCTAGACCTAGAGTAGACCTAGACCTAGAGTAGAACTAGAGTAGACCTAGAACAGAACCTAGTCTAGAACATAACCTAGTCTAGAACCTAGTCTAGAACAGAACAGAACCTAGTCTAGAACAGAACCTAGTCTAGAATAGAACAGAACCTAGTCTAGAACCTAGTCTAGAACAGAACCTCGTCTAGAACATAGAACCTGGAACCTATTGAGTGCCTGGCTTAACAGAAGGACTGTCTGAGTCAACCCAGTAGTTTTAAGTACCCATACACCAGTCGGACGAGTTTATTTGGTGACTTGAAGGGTTCATTTGGCAGGTTAAAACCTCCATGTTGCAAGTTAAACCCTCTATGTTGCAAGTTAAACCATCTATGTTGCAAGTTAAACCCTCCATGTTGCAAGTTAAACCCTTCATGTTGCAAGTTAAACCTATTCCTATCGTCTTGCAGGTTAAACCCTCCATGTTGCAAGTTAAACCCTCCATGTTGCAAGTTAAACCCTCCATGTTGCAAGTTAAACCCTCCATGTTGCAAGTTAAACCTATTCCTACCGTCTTGCAGGTTAAACCCTCCATGTTGCAAGTTAAACCCTCTATATTGCGGTTAAACCTATTCCTACCGTCTTGCAGGTTAAACCCTCCATGTTGCAAGTTAAACCCTCCATGTTGCAAGTTAAACCCTCT